GGCATATCGCAAGGGGAGAGCGATTCGGCACTCACCGTTTTCGACTCTGATGCCTATACGCGAGCCAGCACTGTTGACGACACGTACGGCTGGGAAGCAGAACTTCAGCGCAAGATGAAGTGCAGAGTTAGCACGGATTCTGTGTGTCCTTATCGTCATCATAATCAATATCGGAATTCTGATGGCGGTATGCGAAACCTCTTCCAGCGCGTCTTTTCTGTATCCGGGAGGAGAGTCAATTCCGGTTTTTAGAATTACGTTATACCACTAAGTTGGTGTTATTGAATCATGTGAGACGGATTAATGAGTTGATCTACTTTGTCGTTTCGAGCAGGGCGATTTACAAAAATTTCTTACCATGTTCATCATCGGCGGTTTGAAATGCATCTGGTTTTATCATTTTCGGCGTTATCATCCGGACGGCCAGGCAACTGGGTCCTACGGCGGCAAGCATTAAAATAAATCGGGTTAAATATGGCATAGAATGGGAAATTAACAGGGTTTGGCGAGGCGTTCAAATGGGGTTTGGAATATCACGACTTTTGCTAGATGTAACGAATTTCCGCTCAACGTTATTGTGTTTTCTTTTGGATTGGTTGAAGGCAAGCAAGCAAAGCAAGCAGCGTCGTCTGCAAAAAGATATTGGCTCTAACTTTACACAACACCTGCATTGTATAGAGCGGGGAATTATTGGGCAAGACAAGACAAGCAAGAGACAAACGAGAGAGTTTGTGTGCTGATATATCTTCGTGTCGATATATCGTAATCCTCGGGTTGTTACTAGTAGAGGAGCCGAATGAATATAGTATGGTATGAAAGTCCATGTATATGAAACCGGCCACAAATTGTTATTTTGTGATCTTGTGCTGCTTATGTTACCGTTACGCATGAATTTAGATAACTTCATATAACTATGCCCTTGCGGTTCTAGATTCATGTGTTTCGACTGCGTCTCATTTTCTTAGCTTTGATTTAATGTTCATCCAATGGAGGGTTATTATCTAAAGGGATTGGCCATTCAAACCTGTCAATTGAAGCTAGTCCTTTCTACCTCATCTAACGTATCAGATTGTAGCACTTGATGAGTTCTTGATGAGTTCTTGTTAACAGATCTAACAAGTTGTCTTCCAACTAATGACCAACTTGATTAACCAAGCTAAACCGTTAAAAGTCAACATGTCATGACATATAGCATTAATAATTAATACCTTTAAAAATCACGGTTCATAGTCTTTCCTATTTGCTATCGACTATCAAATCCATTACAGCTACAGGTCGATAGAGATTACATCGCCTTCAGCAGCGACGCTCTTGGACACATGACGAGATGCTCCTCCTTAACCCAAGGGAAAAACAAAACACACGCCAGAATTGCTCCATCCAGCCGTCTATATCTCGAATTACGGGTTCCCTTATATAAACCCATTCCCTATCTCTTTTAGGTCGCCAAGCAAGTCTCCCTTTATTTTGCTCTAATCTGTCTTAATTACTCTTCTACAACGGGGGGCTTGTTGTGCCTCGAGTACATCTTGTACTCGAGCGAGGAGCTGAAGTCGAGCTTGCCCTTCTCAACCTGGGCCCTGGTTACGGTGAGCATCGGCTCGGGCAAGCCCATTGATTGCAGGAATTCTACGGCTAAAGTGAGATATTAATTAGTACTTTTTTATTGTAAAAAAGGGAAATAAGTTGTGTAGGTAGGTTACTCACTGTCTTTCCATTCTTGCTCCTGTCTCTTTCGGTCCCACTTCAATTCTTGGCTCATGATATCGATGATCTTGGGCAAACACTCAAGCGCAGCCTGGGCGTTCAGGAAGGCCAATCTCGTTCTTCGTGCGAGGATGTCAACGGCAGTCTGCGCATACTCGTTGGTGATGGCATATCTAATTTCGCCATCCACAAAGGGGTAGAGACGAGATATCCGCTCTCCTCTTGCGGGGAATCGGAGGTCTGTCGGCTTGCACATAGCTGCAACAGTCCACGCTCTGTCACCGTAGCTCTCAGTCAAGTGCTTAGCAACCTCGGTCTCGACGCCGAAGTGCTGAATTAAATTGATGAACAAGGTCTTACTGAAACCATGCGCACCGACTAGCCGGACGTTGTGAGTCTGGCATGATCCGTCTAGAATTGCACCGTCGTCTATAGCTTCGGTGCCGCTCACTCGTGGGGCATTAGGGAAGGGCTTGGTAGGAAGATTAAATTCCTTGATTGCTGCATCCACACAATCCTCAGCCATTTGTCGGTAGGTTGTCCACTTTCCACCTGCACATGTCACGAGGCCAGAGCTGGAAATATCAACAAGGTGGTTGCGTACTAGCGACTGCGTGTTTTGGGCCTTGGGGTCTTTGACTAGAGGACGGATGCCAGACCAAGCTGCAAGCACATCGCCACGGCGAACATGAATATCCGGAGAAAGATAATGGCTAACTTCGTTCAAAATCCACTGAATCGACTTCTCATCGGGGAGGGGATTCGGAGAAATAGAGGTAGGCTCATCAGTCGTACCCGCAATGGTATTTCCTTGCCACGGGAGGAAGAAGATAACTCGGCCGTCTGATGTTGATGGATCGATCAATCCCATGTTTGAAGGGCTATAGTAACCGGGTAAGATGACGTGGACGCCCGAAGCGGGCGCAACGATTTCTGCACAATTCTGGTCGTCAAGTTTCCGGATAGAGTCGGTAAAAGGGCCGGTACAGTTGACGATACATTTAGCCTTGACGATAAATGGATCAGACTTCTTACCATTACGCTCATTGATCACGTCCTTCACTAGAGCACCGTTTAGCTTGCCGTTCGCATTTTTCGTCAGCCCAGTCACCTCAGCATGGTTCAACACAGTAGCTCCGTATACCGCTGCGGTCATGGCAATAGAGACGTTCATTCTCGAGTCGTTGTGCGCGCCGTCGTAGTATACCAAAGCACCAACAAGATCGGTCTGCTTCAGCATGGGAAATGCATCCAGAGCCTTACTCCTGGTCAAGAAGTAAGAACTCTCGATACCTTCGCTACCAGCAAGGAAATCGTAGAACTTAGTACCAGCCCAGTAATATGGTGCCTTCCACCACTTGTCCAAAGGAAGCATAATAGGTAGCCACGAACTCAGATGAGGAGCTGTCTGCAAGAAATACTTGCGTTCCTTGAGGGCTTCCTTGACTAATTGGTACTGACTGTAATCCAAATTCCATACAGCTTTTTCCAGATATCTCACACCACCATGCACAAGCTTGGTACTTTTACTACTAGTGCCACTGCTGAAATCGTCTCTCTCGACAACTGCTACTTTGAGGCCTCTAGTGACAGCATCCAGTGCAACACCTGCCCCGGTAGCTCCGCCGCCAATGACAAGCATATCATACTCCTCCTCTTCTCCGGCGCTCTTTTTGAGGTCGGCTATCTGCTCCTCGCGGGATTTCACTTTCGGAAACCGAGGGAGCTTAAATGTGCCATCGGCGCCGTAGATGGGAGGAGGGACCGCAGGACCTTCGAAGCCTGGAATATTCCGGGGTCGATATGAGTACAGAAGCGCACCACCACCAACCACAGCGATAGTGGTAGGAAGCGCAATGCGCTTCAACCCTCTGGCGAATCTGGACATGATGAAAGAGTTTGACTGATATTAGGAGATAGGTGTATTCTGTTTAGTTGCACTGCCAGCAGGACCTTTCTAGCAATACTGACCGTGCCTAATTGAAGACACGGAACTGCGTTCAAGCGTAAAACTCGAACACAGTAGCTAGGCAAACAAGCCGAATTCTCCTAGCCCGAGTGTGATGCAAGGGATAATATAAAGCTGGACAGAAGACGGGTCTCTTAATCAGCGACCGGCTGGCGGCAAAATTGACGCCAAGTCAGGTCAAATTGCCTTGGAGACTCGAATCACTCAGGCTAGATGTTGTAAAGAAGAACAATTAGAGAAATTTCCCTCACTCTGAAGTGACGAAGTTGAATGGTGTTGGTACAAACGTGGGGGTGACCACGCGGTCAGGCACTTCTCCTTTCGGTTTCGGTGGAGAAGTAAATGGAGAAGTAAATGGAGAAGTAAATGGAGAAGTAAATGGAGAAGTAAATGGAGAAGTAAATGGAGAAGTAAATGGAGAAGAATGGGGACATCTACGTGTAGAAGTTGATATCAACATTGTTTTCGTACCTGATACAAAGTTACGCCGAGAGAAAATACAATGAGAAAGGGCTTGCTTTTAGTTCGTGGTATTAGCTTGTGATGGGTTGGCTGAGAATTGGGTCTGCAGCTCCCTTCCCGGAGTGAAAAAAGTGAGCAGTAAGCCCCATACTTTCTCCCATAAAGGTTCCATTTTCATACCCCACATGCCCCATAATTAGGGATGCGGCAACGGGAACACGGTTGGGCTCGGTACAAATGTGAATGTAAAAGGCTCACTAAAGATATTCACTGTGTTGCACAACATTGAAGGTTAACGCAAGATTATGCGCCTATCGAGATGGTTCAATTGAGCAGGGGAGAAACAAGGGGAGAGTTTCCTAAGATTCCTTTACATTATTATGTAGATAACTGTACCTCCTAGGGCCGGCAATAGATGTTCCATTAATTATGTACGAATCATAGATCTGTAGTATCACCTTTGTAAATTCCATTACACAAAGAAGACCTTTGTCTCGGAACTCGTACTTGGATGATATCAACTAGAAATTATATTATTTATTCCTCCTCAGTAATTGCATATTTACAACTACCTAGGTAAATAGGGGTGATCCATACGAGGCAGCTTCTTTTCTCCACGTGCGCGCGTCTTGTCATATTTGACTGACGTATGTATTCGAGGTAGCAATATCCTTCCAAGTTATGTACCTAATGCAACCAAATGCAACCAATCCAACAAATCGCTAGCTTCTTTCTTATCGTCATTGCGGTCTCGGGGTAATAGTACCGACTACATACCTTGGGGTCGGACTAAAATATTTAGAACATGTGATTAATTTCTATTTCTATTTAGTAGGTACCTAACCCAACGATGTTAACGATGTTAGCAACTATTATTGTTACATATACAAATGAGAAAAGAACAAAGTCCATCAACACAAATAGCGAACAGCTCGTCAACAAATGTAATCGCTGCGTTGATTTTCTCGCGCTCAGCCACAGCATATGTGTCTTCTTCTACTCCAGATAGAGACGTCCTAAAGTCAGAGCCTGCTCCGGCTTTGACCATCGTCACGCTCTCTGCGCTGACGGGAGATTTGGACGGGGCAAACGCACCGCCACCACTAACATCGTCGATCTGTATTATATCTACCTGGATCTCCTGTGACACCATAATGCCTCCGAAAGAGGAGGATTGCTGCACCACCGCTTTGTCAGATATCGTATCTTTCCACGACTTCTGGCGACCGGGGAAATCCTGACTGCATCGCTTCACCGCAGAACTGCAAATATCTGATTCATAGTTAAAAGAGCCATCTCCAACCATGACATAGTCATTGGTTTTCGACCGTCCAAAGCGACGCAATGAACTCAAGCGATTCCGCCAGAATATGGCTCGCCCGGCTCGTTGGTATGTTGCAGGTGGCTTATTGATCGACACTGCATTTACCGTCGGGGACAGTTCCCGATGCACGTACCGTGTAAATGCGGCGAGATGAGGTGAATTCTCATATACCATCTGATGAATCTTAAAGAAATTTAAGGGTATGAATTCGCACCTAGGGTTACTGGCGCTGGCGTGAATCGGCATCATGATGCACAGAGCAATCATTGTGCAAGATTCCGAGCTTAACCCAGCTCGAGCTCTGCAGGGTACTTGGACCACCCTAGAAGTCAGTACGGCTTCGTCAAAAACGGGATCATCTACCCAAGCGCGAAGAGATTGGAGAGCGCCAGACAGCTGCGAAGCAAACAATACCTCTCGAGGAGAGAGCTTCTTCAGCGCATTGAGATTTTGGAATAGGACAGGGACATCCATTCTGTTAAGCCGACGAATAACTATACATCAGAGTCAGTTGTGAAATTGCGTGTACCGGGGCAATGAAACAAAACAATAAGCATTAGACATTGAGCTTTCGAATAGGGGCTGAGTCGACGATTGACTCCAAGACTCTTGACATAGAGAGGTGTTTAATATACGTACCATCCATCTGCCATGACTCCAGACGTTCAAGCGGTACTGGCATAGTAGGGAGCAAGTTCCGAGCGCCCTTCTTCACAACGACGTCGAAACCAAAACTTCCTACGCGAGCCCTGACGCCGAAGAAGCCGATATGTACGCCACGGTCCAACACAGCGCTGCATTCGGCCAATATCGCCATGTGCCCTGCTACATGCGCCATAGCCGCCCTTTTCTAGCATATTGGCAACGCTGTAGTTGAGTTTATGAGGTAGCTCGTCAACCCCGGTGGCTAGGATTCCATCCCATAAGATACCCACATCAACAAGCTTCTCTTTTAACTTGTTTGCTAAATTCATGGCTGCGACGCAGAACAGTTCACGAAATATGGTGTCATAATTCTCGATTAGTTTGCCTTCATCGTCAATGAGACGGATCTTGGTATCGCGAGGACCCTTGGGCAAACGCGCCAGGTGTTTAGCTATGCCATCAACCATACCGACCACGCTGTTCCAATCTCGAGAGACCTGGAACATCCAATGGAAAAGAGGATGAGAAATACCGAATGCGTCGTCTTGGGTCTTTTCCACATACGCATCTGTAATCTTCTCGCTGGGTAGCAAGCCGTCTGGGCTCACTAATATCCTCCCCAATTTGTCGAACACTGCGGCCGCTAAGATAATCTGTTGGGCCTTGCTCGCATTTCGTTTCGTGACGCGTGTTGCGTAAATGATGGATCCTGCCATGAAGAAGACTGCGGGGATTAACAGGCATATGACGATTATGATGGCCTGACTCTGAGAAAGTTGAAGGTCGCCATTCGTATGTTTCAAGCGATAATTTGTACCGACAGCCGCAACCCAATGCATTCCAGACACGGCACCAGCCAACAAATGTGCAGATAACACTCTTTTCCGCCACGTATTCTTCCAGGACGCTCTACAGACGAAGAACAGTGATAGGGCCAAGATACTGTCAACTACAGCGATGACTGCTGCTCCCGCAATGAAGACCTTGTCATATATGCAGTCGTAATTGGTGATAGAAGCGTTACCCAAGTAATGCATCCCGCACATACTACCACCAGCAAGCACGCTTCCGCAGCATATTCGCCACCCGGAAACCTTGCAGTTCGCGCCAATGGCTACGAAAGCCACCAGGAGTACGATTACTGACAAGAAGAAGGAGAGTGCGGAGTAGCGGCTAGAATAATTGATACGGAGTTCAGGCTCGCCCTCGCCTAGTATTACCGCATGATTTCCGACAAAATGCTACGGCTAGTTAGGCGTCCAAGAATATTTTGAGAGTGAGCTGTAAAGTCTTACCATGCACCATATTGATATCCCACCCATAGCTATTGCAGCACTGACAAGTATGAGATGGTTGAATAAGCCATTCCGGGAAGTTCGACGATTGAGCAGCTCGAGTGTCAGGGCTGCTCCAATGCAAGAGACAAGATAGCTTAGAAACACGAAGCCTCCCCGGAACGATCGAGGGATAATTTCATTTTCATATTGCAGAAGCAATTCCTCGCCTTTCGACATGATAGAAATTTTTCTTCGTCTAAGCCGGATCGAGGACCACGGGAGTGACTAGCTATGAGGCGACTAGAGGCATTGACGATAGTTTACGCTGGAGGGGACGGCGTGAGGTTGGTGCTCGTGGTCCATATTCATAGAGCGGTATTGATTGCCGCGGATGGATACCGATATAAAAGACCTCAGTGTCTAATCGCAAACATCAATACGCCTTGCACGTGGGCAGGAATCGAGGAATTGAGGAATCGTTTTGGAAAACAGCCCGCTTAACAGGTACAATCAGAGACTTTGAACGTTAATATGGAGAACGCCGCGCGAGTGTAGAGGCGTTCGGACCCAATAGAACGAAGAAAACGAACTCGACCAGATAGTGCGCCCGCCCCCATGACATTACCATTCCGATTAGAGGCAAGTTTGGCGTCGAACACATTGTAGAACCCTGGGGACATTAGTGCAGCAACCCTGTCAATGTGTTCAGAGAACAGTTATAGTAACAGGGCGCTACTTGGCAACTACCAAGATGTCAATTTCAAAAGGGGCCGGAGCTTTACAGGAAGTCTCACCATTAGGACAGAGCTTGCTTTTTTTCGAATAATGTAGTGGAAGCAAGCGCAGAACCGTAGGCATTGATGGTAATCCCGGTACGACGACACCTAGAAGAATGCCACAACTTGGCATACACGGCACAATACCACAATATAGGAGTTACCAGATATTCCATAAGCAAGCTCTTATCTTATGTTCAGAGGTAGCAATTCAAGATGCAGCAGCCTCAAGCTAGCCTGTTCTACTAAGTTCACCGATTGTTAGCACTTGAGGACTAGACGATGCCTGAGAAAGCGCAGCTCGTATCCTACGTTCCACGTATATCATGGTCTACGAGGCGAGATCCATTGTCTACGACGACGAACACCCCAACCTAGGTACATACACAGACCTTGAAGCATCGGGAGCTGCAGGTTCCTTACGTACGTCGTGCTACGATATCCCTCTGATATTTCGCTACCAGGTGTTCGGTAATTTAGCATCTTATCGCTAAGCACCTACTTCTTCTACTCATTTATTGCTTTCTAATAGTTAAACCCATACAGTCAGCCCCAGGTCACACGGCTTTCCTTGTCGCACGTTAGCACTTCGCCTTAGCTAGTCATTTTTTTTAGTTCATCTCGAAAAGAAAAAGATGGGCACGCCACAGATGCCGGCGTCCACATTCGGTCGATGCCATTAAGCCATATTTTCCCTGTGCTGTTCAGCCGTAACATGAGCCAATAGACGGAAGCTGCTCTTGGCTTTATCGACGTTATCTAATTTGATCCTATGATTATCCATACAGCTACCCTCGGGAGTATATGCTCAAGTCAGGCCCTGAATCAGTAATATTTGTACTACTTACAAACGGAGACCGGCAACGAGTGGCTTGTCGATCATCTCACTTGGCGGTTTAACCTTAGGGTAGGAAGTTCGTACTACGCCTCGGATTTATGGACATGGAAGAAAAAGAAGGCAATTCTATTACTAAATAAGCCATACTTATGATAGTAATATTCCAGACCCTGTCTGTCTTGCATTTGCTAATTCTACACTAACTTGATCGGATTAGGGGACCTCATGACTAGCCTAGCCCCTTATTGATTTCCTTATAGTCGATTAGCTCAGGAGGCCTACGAGTATCACCTATAGTAAACCCTCTGATGGTAGTTTAGCTCTTGGGGGGGGCGCCTTCCTGTGACATTACGCCACATTCACATTCTAAAATCAGGATTCCAAAGGCACTTGAGACTAAAGAATACACAGCCCTTGCCGTTGAGAGAATATTCTCTTCGAGATATCTCTAATAATGTGGATATTTCTATTGTACGAATATGATTCAAACTAGTCTCCAGCTGAACACTATTCTGTCATTCGATGTCTTATTTTGCGACAGGTCATCAAAATCGAGCTAAACGGGTTCAACATTAAACAAGGTGTCTATATTGAATACGTAGCTTCGGCTAACGGCACCGTTTCTAGAACAAGGCTTGAATACTTTGATTTTTGCTTTTGTTGAGATACACCATATATACATAGTAGCACCAAGATAGGGAGAATTTGTTGCAACGATCGGGTGTAATACAACATATTCAGGAACTTGTTATGTAAGCAGACCAAAACTTACCGTCAAATGCCAATACAATACTCTCATTTATTAGAAACTGTATTTGCAATAACTCACGTGTAATTTCATGTAATTGTATACCTAATTGTAGTTGTTTGGTTATGTACCAAGGTAATTTTTGCGTAGGTAAGCACAAGAATGCATGTGTTACATATGGTAAAGCTTAACCCCACGTTGCCCCGCATACGTCAGTCTTTGCGATGCCGCCCTGATACTCGATTAGCACCGAGAATAATTATTCGTCCAATTTTCAACATCGTCCCTACTTTTCGTGAATCCACATCGCCATTTGCTTTCATATGCCCATTACAAAATCTACAATATTAGATTACTATCAATCGGAAAAGGCCATCGCAGACATCGACGTTTGGAATATACTACCTCGGCGCGATTAATAGCGAAAAATGGCGCCTCCAGAATCCGCCAATCTGCTGGTGGCCCTGCCCCCCTTCAAACCCGACCTATACCAGCGCGCCTGGCAATCGATACCGCATCCCACGCTCCCACTCCTAGCCACCGCGCACCAGAAGTCCGTCACCGTCTTCTCACTCTCAACGCTCTCCGCCCACAGCGCTTTAACCAACGGCCACGACCGCTCCGTGCGCTCCACAACCTGGAAGCCTAACCTACCGCCTCACAAACTGTGCTTGGTGACTGGAAGCTTCGATTCCACAGCGGGACTATGGCGCTGGAACGACGAGGCGAAGGGCGACTTAGAGGTCGATGTCGCAGAGGAGGATAGTGGTGATGAAAAGAAGGAGAAAGAATGGGACTTGATTGTTATCCTAGACGGCCAGGACTCGGAAGTCAAATCTGTCTCGTTTTCGCCTACGGGACAGTTCCTCGCGACGTGTAGCCGGGACAAATCCGTCTGGATATGGGAGGATGTAGGCACGAACGAGGAAGACGACGAGTGGGAGACAGTCGCTGTTCTCAGCGAGCACGAAGGCGATGTCAAAGCCGTCGCGTGGTGCCCGGAAACCAATAGAAGTGGGCGTGGGCGGTATAGCAGCGACGTGCTAGCGAGCGCGAGTTACGACAACACGGTGCGGATATGGCGGGAGGAGTCTGAGCAGGAGTGGGTGTGTGTTGCAGTGCTTGAGGGCCACGAGGGAACTGTCTGGGGCGTCCAGTGGGAACCGAAGCCGAGAGGGGAGAAGTTCCCACGGATTCTGACGTGGAGCGCTGATCGTACGGTGAGGATATGGACGCTTAAGGAAGAGGAGGACGAGGAGGAGGCGCCGCAGCATGCGTGGGGGAGTCTAGGAGGAATACCGAATACTATGCGAAGGGCGTTGAAGGAAGAGTGGGTGTGTACTGCCGTGCTCCCTACGGCGCATACGCGAGATATATACTCAGCGTCATGGAGCCCTGGGGCAGGTATGGTTGCCAGCACAGGTAGTGATGGCATAATTGCCATTTACCGCGAGGACGAGGTGGGGTCCACGAACGGGGTCCACGCTACGGATGATGAGGCGGCAGCTGAGTTAGATGGAGATGTCCAAATGACGAACGGCCATGCGGAAAGCAGTAAGCCCCAGGAATCTCGAAGATGGAAGCTAATATCGACGACCCCTAACGCCCACGGCGCATACGAGGTCAACCACATCACCTGGTGCAAGCGTTACGATCAAGGGTGCGCACCCGAGAGAAGAGGGATCGAAGAGATGCTAGTTTCGACTGGAGACGACGGCATCGTTCGACCGTGGCAGATACTACAATAATTAACCCAGAGGGTCTTATTATAATACATCACTCAAACTGTATATAACGTCCGGGGAATTTTGGTCCTGAAAGCCGAACTTCGTGCTATATAGAACGAGCCGCCGTATCGCTGTCCGTCGCTCGATTTACTTAGGTTAGGGTACATAGACAGGGGACAAGGAAGCCCAATGCGACGAGCAATCTGCCAGAAATCGAAACACGGTAATGATTAGCCATTACTCTCTCAGGAGAATGCGATGAACTTACAAAAACCGTACAATGATTATTCAAGGGGAAAAAATAAAGAGAAAAAATTAGGCCTTGGAGCAGACGCCGTCTAAGTTCCGTTCTAATACCCCCAGTCTAATGCCTCCGTAACTCCTTATTTTCCCTGCGTCAACGCCTCGTGATCCTCGAGGGGACATATAGACAAACAGACAAGCCTGCGTATTACATCGCCTCATATAAATGTGCCCGGGTACACGTTCAAGTGGTACTCGCAGCAGCACAGAATATACCCAACCTTCCGCCACGCACACCTCGAGCACCACTCTGACCCGCGCCGCTGGCCTCGCCCAAGGCCAGTTACCGTTGAGAAAAGACTCCAATGCTGGTCCGCCGGTCGCCTGCAAGCCTTGCAGACCCAGGGCGTGGGGCGTCTGGAATGAGGGCGGGCCTGTGACGGTCGTAGGGCTGGGCGCGCGCCTAAGTTGTCCTGGGCGTTCCTGTCGGCAAATGCAAACTCCATCGCCGCGTACTCCTGCTCCTGCTCTGCTGTCAGGGGTATCTCGCTATAGTGTTTTGGGCCTGGGACATTGTGCGGCGGGTATCCGGGTCTCTGTGGGTATGCGTGGACGTCGACGGTTTCGACGACTGGGGGCGAGTGCCGTTTGCTGGTGTTGCGGAGGCGAGGGATTCTAACGCCGCTTTCGCTGCTGCTACTGGTACCGGCACTGACGGCGGCAGGTTCGGGATTTTCACCGCTCTTGCTGCTACTACCGGGCTGGCCGTCACTACTGGTGTTAGTTGTAGCAGGAGTAGTGTATAGATGAGGCAGATCGTTAAAGCTAAACGAGGGCTGCCGGCGTAGTTGGCGCCTCGGTGGCGACTCAGTACGACTTCTACGGCTCCTGAGAGTGCTCGCGCC